TGCAAAAAAGCTACTCTCAGTTCATATATTTTTTTCTGTACCAATATTTCCTTCCTCAATTAAATGACTTAAGTCTTTGTGTGTTATTTTCTTTACAAATATTTTATGTTGTGCCTCCATGTAACTACCTCTTTTATATTTTGAAATAGTGTACACATATATAATGTCTCCTTGTTAGATTTTAACTTTTTAGTTACTTTTTAGGGGTCTTGTACGGTACATATTATTAAGTATTGTCTTTTTTCCCTTTCTTAATAAGTAATTCTTGTCTTGTCTTGTCTAGCAAATGATGAAAGCCTAGATAGAGGTGCTGTACTTTCTCCTCCGGAGGAAGACAAGAGTCAAATCAAGAGTGGAGACCCCAAGCAAAAACACAAAGGCAAGCAACCCTATGAGTATGAACGTAAGAATGTTTGTGCAAATGATGAGAACCAGTTTTATGCAGTTACAAGTGAGGTAGACCTTGATGAAGTCAATTAAAACCCCTAGGTGAAAGGCTGGATTCCCAGGCTGAAGATGCGGATGCAACCAGAACCAGCTGTATGACAAAAGAACAACAACAGTATCAACGTAATATTGCCACTGAAAATGAGGAGGGCAGGACTCAAGCTGGGATAGATGAATTAGAAGTGGCCCAGAGTGGTAGCAAAAGTGGAACCCCAAATGCAGGTGTGAGTGTAACTGAAGAGAAGGACGAAATTCCAGCTAAGATTACTGCAGGGGAACCAGAAATATCAACTGTTAAAAAGAACGGATACCTAAGTGAAGGTACGTAATGTGTGGGTGTGTGTCTCTGGGTGACAAAACACATGTTCCACTTACTCAATTAGGCTGTTGTGCTGGCTGAACTTTGCTTCGGTATTTTGCAGTTCTCCAAATTCCTAATTTTGGCATAATATGGGCCTGGTGAGGTGATATTCAATATCCAAAAGTGTCATATGTTCTTTAAAGAACATTTGCCACTTTTTGATATTTCTTTATTGAATATCACGTCATGAGCTAGTGAATTACAAGTGTCACACACCCCTGACGGTGTTTCCGCTTAACATTCATAATAAGGACTGCTGCTGTGTAGTGAGTATAAATAACAATTATTCACCGAAGTGGAGGTGAATCAGTGAATAGTGCAGGATATTCACTGATTGAGTAGCCAATCAGAGTGTGCGAAAACACTATCCACTGTTTTAGTATATACTAATAATAAATATTAACAATTGTGATAAATATAAAGAGATTCATTAAGATAAAAGATAGAGAAACCCAGTCAAGATGAGCAATTAATGATGCTAAAAATATTTTAGCAGGTCGATTTATGGTTGTTTTGCCACATTTTCTACTAACACTGGTTGTATAATAAATGGTTTTAATGTAAATTTTCCAGATTAGACATTTTTGCGAAATGCATCGGGCCGTTAACCCCCTCAAGAACTTTCCCCCCCTCATCAGACCATCCGTACTTTTTAAGGTGGGACTAATGCAACAATATCCTTTCTTATTTAGTCAGACAAGTGTTAAAGGAACTTTTTCAAATGCTGCATGATGCAGAAATGGCAAAAAACAAGATGAATCTGTCCACTAGCCTAGAACAGATTGCTTTGGACAAGGGTTTCAGAGTTGTGAACAATCGAGGACAGGGAAATTGTATGTTTCATGCCTTGTCCGACCAGCTTAACCTTGTGATGAGAATTTCTGTATCCCATGAACAACTAAGACATGCTGCTGTTGATTACCTTAGAAGTGATGAAGCTGCTGCTCTGGTTAGTTGCTCTTTTTGTTATTATCTGCATGTATTTCCCATCTTAATGTATCAACAAGACAATTCTGCGAGCCATGCGATTCGTGGCATGTGAAACAAGACCCTTGTTATAGTGGTTCATTGGGCTGCCGACTGCGCAATGTATATTTATAGTTCCCACAATGCATCGCGCAGTCGTTGTTGGTAGATAGTCTGTGTCGCGCGGTTGGTAGATTATACTTTTTCCAGCTTGAGTGTATAACTACTCCTTAGTATCCCGTGAAATGGGATAGAGATATGTATACTGTCATTTGAAGTTGAATGATTGTCTAGGTTAAATTAGTCCTGAACTGTCACGAGTAGTCACTAAATATGAACCCCATGCAAAAATGGTGTTTTCGTTGAAAGTCTGTTTGCAAGTGATTGGTTTACGAAATACGTTTTGCGCTTACGTCGAGAAAAATGGGTACCATTTTTAAGTCGGCCTGGCAGAGTATAGTGACTTCTACAAATATGAATAAAAATAGGCAAGTTAGCCATTTGAAAATATTAACTATTGGCTTTAATTTTTAACTGGGACATTTCCACAACGCATTGCAATAAATTGCAATAACACAAGAGAGAAATTTGCTGTCATATTTTGGGAGAGAAAGAACTTATTAAACGCTTTGAATTTCACATGAAGTGAGTGGAAACGTGGAACGCGATTCATCCTACCATCTTTTGAAGAAGGCATTGAAAAAAGCGCCATAAAATAGCTTCAGAGACATTCTCATTCAATGAATTCACATACCGGCACACAAAGGGAGATTCGCAATCACGTTTTGAAAGGGAAAACACTTATTAAAAGGTTTAAATTTCAAGATGACGTGAAGAAAAACTTCAAAGAAAACTTCGTCGTGGAATCGGTTTTTTTCCTATTTTTTGAGGTTTTAATATAGGACTAATACCTTCACGCAAGAATGTTATTTTTCGCTATAAGTCTGTTTGCAAGTATTTTCTTTTGAAATGACCCACCCTCCCCTCAATAATTAAAAAAGGTCCACCATCTTAGGGGGGAAGGGAACCGTAAAGTGATTCGTCCGCTATTTTGTCTGTTAGCTGCAAAGACGACGGCCTCCATTTTTCGATTGGGCTTTGCCACAGGCGGCCCAGTAAAAATAAAGTTTAAAGAAATTGCATGAAATATGTTTTCTGCTTGGTTCCCTGTGGGTACGTGAGGTTTTGCCCCTGGGATATTTGCAGAATTGCACAGTCTTGGTCGACTTTCATCGACTAGGGTTAAGCGTGTATTTTACTTACTAGGGATAATAAAAAAACTAAAAAACGCCTTTTGCCGATTTTTTCACCTGATTTTACATTAAATAGCCAGATTTGGTTGTTTTAAGTGAAAATTACATGTACAATGGTTAGCTTTCAGATATTTTTTCCATAGGATTACTTTTTCGATTGTTTGCATTTTGTTGCGTATGGCTCGCTGGCTTGCACTGTGTCCCAACTCACAGACCAATTTAGCAAGGTGTTGTTCAACTCCTTTTTGTGGAGATCTTAGCAAGGCAGAGAAGCCCAGTGCCACTCAGAGAAGTCGAGTTCTATACAAGTCTAAGTTTTGGCAAACAGTTCTTTTTAGTAGAACGATATCAACATAGCAACGGCTGTGAAATGGAGGTTTCAACTTTGTTAAGCTCTTTAATTTTCAAACTGCCAGAGAACAGAGAGAAGAACTATACAGTGTTGTTCTGACGAGACCTTAACTGGGCACTTAATAGAGTGAACATCAAATATGACTTTCCATTGAAGCTCATGATTAACACAGTAATTGCACTAAGTAGGACTATGGGATTAGCAAAAGCATGAGGTGCTTCTGAAGGAGCACAAGAATGAACTATCTGGTGATCGCTTAACATTCTGTTAAGTGCAGTTGCTAATTTATGTATAATTGGTTGGTCATGACGCAACTTTGGAGCTGTGTGGTTGTCTCGATATCTCTCCTCAGCAACCTCTACAACTGGAATATAAGATATCACCTTCGCGATTCGGTGCGTTTTCACTCAAGAAATACGTTATTATCCTCTGGAAGTGGCTCTTTCATTTTTTGATTTGAGCTTTTTCCTACGCACCATACCTTTCACCTCTCACCGAATTTCGGAAATCAGAAACTAGACCAACACAAAGCTTTCAAACCTGTTGCTAAAAACCATAAACGCTGTCTCTGCACCATCTGTTTTTGCATGACACGGCTTTTTTGACTCCAGTTAATTGGACTTGTCCAGCCGATCAGTACCACAGCCGATCGGTCCCACAGCGGATCGCTGGGGAACAGTTTCGTCCACTAACAATGCCAGCAATACTCCGGATCGAAACCCACCAACCATGAGTGTAGCCTGCGAGCAAGCTCTCCTATTTGGGCAAGCGAAGCGAGAATCGCGAGAACACGCGAGCGAGGGGCGTTCTCGCGAGCCTAGTTTCACTCACCCAAATAGGAGAGCTTGCTCGTAGGCTACCATGAGTGAGGTTCGTGATTCACCAATTACTAGCAACCGCAGTGGTACAGATAGTCCCACTCAGTATATTAACATTATTGCCTGATGAAGACCTGCGGTACGCGGTCGAATCTTTGCCATCAATAACCGCTCCCGGTTAGCTCAATTGGATAAGCGCCGGTTTGCCGAGCAGGAGGTCGTGGGTTCAAACCCCGGCCGCACCAACACTCAGGGTCTTAAATTAACTGACGAGAATGTGCTGCCTTTGTTGTGACATCTACAAAATGGTTAGACAATCTAGTTTTCCCGGATAAGGACGGAAAACCATACGCCCCGTCTCACAGCTCTTTCACTACTCTGATTCTTGTGGGGCGTAAAAGAACCCAGACTGCTGTTCGTAGACCCTGGTGCTCTTGCACAACCTTTCATGGACTGGGTTGCTAATGAAGGGGTTGATATAAATTGGGACGTTAGTCCTGTTTCATCTCCTGTCACCGTGTTGAGTCAACGTGACGAATTCAATAAAGATAAAGATAAAGGGCGTCGTGAGACAAACGATAAAATGAACCCTTGGGGTTTTGTGCACATTACCACGATGGTAGTATCTTTCATGACATAGATTTGTAGTTGTCTCTCCAGCCGAACACGGTTGATAGAACATCAACAAGTACATTGCCTTAGCCATTGGCGTACTTTTGCTGGAAATCGTCCCGAGCCCAAAATCTTCCCACAAGGCCTGATCGAGCGTGTCATCTCTTATTTTTTAGTATTCAAGTGTCGGCTTTGATAGTATCAATCACAGGTGGCCCAAGCTCGGTGTATAAATTACTGCGTGTTTCGATACTGTTTTGCATATTACGAACGATTTACTTTCACCACGCAACACATAGTCATCGAGTTTCCTGAGCGCACGTCAGATTGCCCAGAACCGAAAGCTTTGAAAAAAGATTCGCACAAAAGCACATTGCAATACCCATAATGAGGGGAAGAGATGAGAGACTCACCTGGCCTAAAAGGATTTGGCGCTTTCGTGGTGGATCGGTGCACGGCTCTTTGATGCGGGAGAGATTTGTGAGTTGAGACTGCACACAGTAACCTGCCTTGCTTCGCATTGTGTAGGAGAACAAACAACGAGCCCCAAAACTGCATAAAATGGCCATGAATTGAGCCCAGGTTACCCAGAAAAAGTAACAACAAACCCAAGTTTACGTAAGTGAAACTTTTTTCTATATTTATGCCTTAATTTTGTACGTTTTAACAACTATATCAAATTTTTATATCAAGTCTATAAACCGTTCGCAATATACACGCCTTAATTTATGGAACGAGCTTGGGCCACCTGTGTATCAGTGTATGTAGTTCTTGGTCTACCATGGCTTGGGTGACCATGTTGCGGTTCCCAAAAGAGCACTTTTGAGTCAGTTTCTTCATTGTAACAAGCGCAGTGACCAGCTAGTCTCAATCTTCCCTCACGTATTTTTCTGTGACTCCTAGGAAGCTTCTATATAGCTCCTGCTTTGTCATATGTTGTTTCCAGTGCACAATCAGAGCCGTTCGCAGCATTCTGGTGTAGCATCCATGAACAATTTCCTCAATCTTCTCGGTCGGTGTCCATGTTTCAGCTCGAAACAGTCTGATCTTTGTTGTTCATGGTACCTTTGATGTTCACACCTTTTTATTTCGTTGGGAGCTGTCCAAGCTAAAGCCTTTCTACCTTAAAGTCATGTTCTTAGTGACTGATCCATGAGCCCAAATACTTAAAGTTCTTGACAGATTCAATTACTTGATCTTCATCATATTTTAAGCCCATCAACATGTATGCTTTATTTTGTCCTCTTAGCATTGAGTCGAAGACCAGCTGTGGCTGATGCTTCTTCTACGTTTCTGGATAGGTCTTGCACTTGTTGGAATTGATTACTAAAAAGAGTAATGTCGGCTGCGAGATTAAGTAAGTGATTTTTCGGCTTAAACACTGCGACTTTGTCTTGGTTTGATTGTTAGTTCAAGTTTTTCGTCACGACCGTCAATAGCCTCTCGCAGTATATAGCCCAAAAATATTATGAACAAGAACGCGCTTACAGCGGCATTTAGGTCTCGCCTGCTTGGAGATTAGATAGAAAAATAAGGAGGCGATTAATTCTACAAGAAACATGATAATAAATAATAAACTTTATTAAGGTATTAGATCTGCTAAAAACCCTTCCATTTGAAAAATTTAATTCTCAAATGATTAAGAATTTTGCAAAATAAAAATTATACAGGCCTATGAAGCGAGAGCTGAGCTTTCAGAAAATTGATATGCGAGGTGTCAATTTTCACACCTAAGGTGTTATTTCCGATTTATATCGCAGGCTCAAAAATTCAATAATTCCGTATTTCTGGCTTTCTCTCGACAGCTAGGAATAATAAGAAAATCGGAACTGACTTACACTGAAACCAATCTTTAAGTATCAGAACAATAAGTAATATTTACAATTTTAAATTATATCGTATTGTTTACAAATTAAAAACTTTATACTACTACATGAGAAATTACTGCAATTTGATTGGCTTAGAGCAGTGGTATTTCAGCTTAATTTGAAATACCTACATGTGAAAATTACAAACCCTTTGTGGGTAGTAGTATAAACAAATAATAGCATGATTTGTACGTGATATTTGGCATAAATACCACTCGTGATATTTCAAAATTGTCTCAAATTTCACTCGCCTAACGGCTCGTGAAATTACGTATAACAATTTCGAAACATCACTCGTGGTATTTATGCCAAATATCACTACAAATCATGCTATTACCTATACAAATATATGTCCACGATAGAAAACTATTTACAATTATGAATAATTTAAAAGTGGGAAAAGGAAAATCAACCATTACTAAGAAAAAACTGTCAAAAATCTAGACCTAAAATTATGAGTGCAAATGTAGATCAGCTACAGCGAAAGTGAAGAAGTCTTCTGAGACCTCACGTGATTTGAATGGATATCTAGAACCTCTGACGCATCTGTGTACAGTTCTTAATATAGCAAATGAGAGCTGTATTCAAAGCCATGAAGTAACGCTAACGTAGGGGTCATTGTTCTTAGTCGAAAGCTTATTTGCGAGAGTTCTTAAAAAGTTCTGACAGTCGAGTCCCGTGTCCGCGTTTGTACCAAACACCAGTGGTGTAAAAGTTCCCATCTCTACATCCATACTTAGTTTGTTCATTTACCTTTAAATTCCCGGCAGTAGCCAGTAAATTTTTCATGAGATATAGCGGTGGAATTTTTTTGTAATGCCCTTTAACTTCAAGCCGCCGCAAAAATTCCAAAGTATTCCAGGAATTGCTGGGAATTCAATACATTTTCCCTTTACCTCATGTGAATAGAGTACTAAAGTGATGACGTCATAAAAACGAAATTTCTGAAATTATGGGATTTGTCAGGATATTCTGAAAGAACAATGCCCAAGAGGCCTACTTACCAAAAATGAGCATTTCTGGGCAAATTGTCTCTGAGATATTAGCCGGTTAAACTCAGAAAACTCCATACAAACCATTCTAATTTTTTTTGGGGTCGACCCCAAAAAAATTTAGAAGGGTTTGTATGGAGTTTTCTAGGCATAACTGGGCTACGATCTCAGGGACAGTTTGCCCAGAAATGCTCATTTTTGGCAAATAGGCCTCTTGGACATTGTTCTTTCAGAATATCCTGACAAATCCCATAATTTCAGAAATTTCATTTTTATGACGTCACACTTTAGTACTCTATAAACCTGGCAAGTTTCAGCGCGGTACTATAAATCCTCATCTTTTTACATCGATTTGTTTTCAGTGCGGTCCAACATGGCCGCAAAATTGCTCTTAATTCGCCCTTAATTTTCGTCGCGCTGCGCTGTTTTCTTCGTCGCCATCTTGAATTCTTACGAGTAAACCGCTGTTCTTAATGTTTGTCGTAACACTGATCCGATTGTAGCACCGAAAGTGGCGAGAAAATACGAAAATCTTCGTTTGAACTCGTTGCGTGACATGCTCTCAATATGGCGTCATAAACAATATTTTAGCCTTAGCAACGTGCTAATTTGCATAACAGATCATTAAACTGCGGCCTTATCTGTCATCGTCCTTACAAGGATCATATATCTGATGTGTCTGTAGAAGGCTTTTTACAGCCTTAGAAATGATTTAGAAATATCAAAACAATCGTACTTAATTTGGGGAAGCAGAATGTAAGCGAATTTTGCTGTAATTTGCCCTGGCTTACTTGAAACTCATAACGCGTTATCGTGTGTCGGGTTGTGAAAATTGCAACATTTCTGTTAACAACGGAAAGTATCGCGTTGGATTTCAGCCCGGTGACTATAAATATTTCCAAAAAAGCGCTCTTAGATACCAACTTTGGCCTTCGTTTTCTCGGCTTATATTTAACGAAAATGCTTCTTTTTTGGAATTTGAGTTCGGGTTAAGAGTACATTCCAAATAAGCGATTTTATAAGCATGATCATTTTTTTGATCTTATAGCAGTTCTAATAGTCTCATGTCTTATAGTTCAGGCACAGTGCCTTACTAATTGGGGAGACTGATTTACTCGCTAAAGGTTTTCTACTTCCTACTTTATAGACGTCGATACTTGTTATTTGTTTCTGAATTGATTTAGTATGCGTGTTAGCGACGACCAAAAATACCTGTCCTGTGGCAGGCTATACGCGTGTATAAATACACGAAAATTCAAGGGCCTCGATTCCAGAGAAATTACATCATTGCCAGATATCGAAAAAGTGACTTACATGGCGCGTCATTTCAATCCTCGCCGAAAATAAATCGCATGCTCATCACAAGACTCATTTGCATCCAGTGAAATTTACAACACCCGATCATCGCAATTTTGCTAATTAAGATTCTTATTTTTTTTTTCGGCCACTCAGTAGTGTTCACTTGCTCAAAAGTAATCAACGCTTTCAAGCGATAAAATTCGTGGACCGACACGTTTCGGAAAAGCTCTAAATTTAATCTTTTCTAAGCTTTCTTCGCAAAACATGCGTGGCTTCAATCACGCAACGATTCTTAGTACCAGTGTCCCAGTTTCCACGGTCTCCACAAGGAACGCCTGGCACAATGGCCTGCTTTTTGTGACCCCCAAAACGGACCAAAAAGTCCGAGGGGGTAAGTCCAGAAAAATTGGGTGGGGTGTGCAGCACGCTTCCTGAAACCCTTACCCTATTTCAGACCAAAATCTGTGATTTTCCCTGCCCTATTTCAGACCTGATCAAGAATTTAATACCCTGTTTCAGACCTGAAGCCTTAGAGCCGGGCGCGTGACCGGAGCATGACAAGCTGTTACGGCACGTACACGGTAGTTGGCGTAAACATTAAAAGGGAAATGGTCTTATCGCCAAATGATGAAGAAGTAGCTAATTCTTCTAAAAAACGTACCCAATTCAAGACTAGAAGGCACAAACTATACCCTGTTTCAGACCAAAATGGTCGAAACTGATACTCTATTTCAAAACAAAACGGCTAAAAAAAAAAAAAAAAAAAAAACTTTTGGCGCGGCACATACCTATACAGCCTATATAAGCTTCCCCCCCCCCCCCCCGGGGGGCGAAAAACGCATTGCAGATTATGAGTCTCGCTGCTTACG